TTGGCCCCTGCTGCACCCCAGAGCTCCCCTCCCTCTGCAGGCCGAGATCACATATTCTGCAGGTGTGACAAACACCTGACAGGAGCAGCACCTGCTGTGCAGCGTGACCTGTTGGACATGTCCTAGAGAGAAGCGACCAAGGACATGACTTTGCAGACCACACTCAAGGTCACCCGAAGAGGAGGGGATGAGGAATAGTGCTGGAAGTTGTGCCCACTGCTTATGGGCTTTGTGCAGATTCAGAACAAAGTAACTGAAAAACCTGAAGTTTCTCCCTGAAGAAGCAAACTGTAAAATATTACAGTTCTCCAAAAAGCAATAAAAAATGCGGAGGTTTCAAGCAAGATGTGTACATACGCCGCCATTAGTCTGTTTCTGGACATGGTAGAATGAGCATTGCTGTCACGCAGTTCCAAAGACAGGACATCAGACAGGCACAGGAAGGAGTAGGCCGAGTGACAAGAGGTTGGGGTACAAATTAATGCACTCGGGTCACCGTGGCAAGCACACCGGGCTGGCACTTTAAACAACAGAAATTCCTTCTCTCCGTTCTGGAGGGCAAAAGTCCCAGACAAGGCTCAGGCTGACTGGTTCCCGGTGAGTGTTTTTCCTCAATACAATCACACTGGGGCTACAGTATCTCCGTGGAGACCTGAGGAGGGCAGAGGCAGTCCACAGCAAAGCTCTTCCATTCACTCATTCCTCTCCAAACTGGTTATTCATGCCCAACTCTGTTCTCCCATGGGAGAGAACAGTGGGCTTCTACTAATGGTGCCCTCAGACCTCACCGAACCCGAGGACATGGCAGCCACTCTGGTGGACAAAGTGGAAACCAGGGGGAGCGGGGAGGCACCAGCCAGGGCTGCGCAAGGGACAGAGGTCAGGGAGGGCTTCTCAGAAAAGGGGCTGGGAGCAAGAACACAGCTCAGAGAGAGGAGCTGGAGGATCTGGAGGGCGCACATGCACCTCACTTCTCTAGACCCTGCCCCTGGAGCACCCCCACCATGCACCCCACTCTCTGGACCCTACCTCCAGCACCCCCACCAGCTGTCAGTGTGCTGAGGTGGCCCAGTGCAGGACAGGGAAGAAGGACCCGGAGCAGAAGCTGACACGGGGCCCGTGATGGGCGAGTGGACACAGAACCCTAGTTGGCTAGAAACCAAGGAGAAACCTGCAGCCCAAGCAGGAGAGCACCATGGCCCTGTGGCGGGGAGCAGGAGGTGTCTCGTCACCTTCCCGCGGCAGACGCCTGACATCCATGACTCCAGGAGGGAAAGTGTATTTGGCTTACAGCTTTGGAGGCTTCAGTATAGGCGTGCTCGCCAGCATCAAGGAAGAAACAGCAGGAGGAGGGCTGCTCCCATCACCGTCGGGGAGGACGGAAGCAGAGAGAAGAGAGGAGCTAGGGACGGAGCCGCGTCCCTCCAGGGCACCCACAGTGACCCGACTCTTCTGCACAGGTTCCAATGCTCCCACAGCACGTTTAGCTACGGACGCACCAGCGAATGAGTCCACTGATGAGAATAGCCGCCCCTCATGAGCCAGTCACCTTCCAGACACCCCACCTCTGCTCACACCAGGCTTTGGGGGACAAAGACTCCAGGCAGCCGTGTCCACTCAGAACCGAGCGCATGTGGAAACCAATACCGCACCAACCAACCCAGGCCCTGGCCCGGTGCATGCCCAGCACACCCCAGGGCTCTGTCCCCCGCAGCCCCTGGACAGTGCGCACCTTCCTCTGACCCACTTGGGAGCCAGGCTTCCTCACAGGGGACAGGGACAGGTGAACAGTGCAAGGGGAAGTTCAACCTCTGCCTCTCAGCCCATTTCCTGGACCCCGTCCCAGTCCGGCTCTGGTGCACGCTCAGCGGACTTAAAGCTAATCCCACCCCGCAAGCCTGACGACCACGGGCTCTCACCGCCTCACAGACTCGCTCCCCCACCCCTCTCTTCAGGGTCTTCAACCTGCCTGTACTTGGCTCCTTCCCTGAACCAGTGTCAGCCCCAACTTCAGCCCTGAACACAGAGCCCAAAGCCCTCTCCTTCCCCGCCCTGTTTGTGGCTCTTGCACCAAGCCTCACCGCCCATGCCTGGGACAGGAACACCCCCCCTCTCCACAGTCCCATCCTGCGCCCAGTGCCATGAGCCGTGGAGCCCCACACTTGTCTCAGAATGGCTCCGAAAGGCTAATGGACCCTTCCAAAGCCTCACTCTTGCCTAAGAAGAAAATTACAGCTCTTCATTATGGCGCTTAAGTGCCTCAGCAAGTGCACATGCACACACACGCACTCACACACGCACTACCCTTGTCCTTCCTGCGCCTGAATGTCCTCCCAATGTGTCTCCATCTGCTCACCTCTCATCTGCCCCCAGAGCTCGTGTCAGCTTCACTTCCCCTGGTAGACTGCATCTCCCCCCACCGCCGCCCGTAGGCTCAGTGTCCTCTTCCCTGGGCCGTGGGGGCCCTGAGCACTTTCTGACACCCAAGCACACAGTGTCCTTTGTCACTCTCCCTCACTCAGGGACCTGCCATGGCAGAAGCCAGCCTTTGGGATCTGTGAGAGACGGACCCCTTGTCTCCCCCAACCCAGACGCTGGTTCCGGTTGTCTGTGAGCTCTCCTCAGCATGTCATGGGAGTGACCTCCTACCCCTCCAGCATGCCCTTGGCACTTCAGCCTTCAGGGGTGGTTACAGTGCCTCAGTCTTCTCCCAGGTCCAGGGAAGGAGCTCTGCTGTCCCTCACGCCTGCTTTTGGGGGTCATGGGGCAAAACTGTGATGCTCCTGACCTGGAATGCAGGCTGCCTCCTGAGAAACAAAACAGCAAGTTTAGCACAGGATGGGTAAGATTCTCTAGAAAAATCCTTGAAAATACTCTATCTCCAGGGTCAGGGCAGAAAGTTTCAAAGCTAAACATCAATCTTTAACTCCCTGCATTCATGGATGTGAAAAGCTCTCATGCTGTGTGCAGCAGCACTGTCCAGAGATACTGTATTTCTTTATCTTCTTTATTCCTTACAGTGATAGCTTGACTAGGTAATGCTAACCCATTTGCACCAGAATGAAAACCACTAGGCTGCAGGAAACCGAAATAAATAGCCCAAAGTCACAAAGCTAATTAATGGGAAACCAGGAACAGTCACCCGAAGAGCAGTTTATTTACCTTCAATGCTAACTGCCTCCCGAAAGCTGTGATGTTCACAGAGAGAATCGAAGAAAGTAAAAGCTGGGTCTGCTGTGCTCTCCACGGTGAGACTTTGCTCAACCTCTTTCAAGCTGTGCTTAAGGGAATTTGCGTTTCTCAGGCCATCTCCATAACCACCCCTCCCTGCAGCTTGTGACTTCCCTCGAACCCAGCCAACAGGGCCCAGGACGCAGAGGCAGGCACAGCCGAGGGCTGGGGCCGGAGGACCCTCAGCTCCTGAGGTCATCACCTGCCAGCAGCTCCCAGCATGGTCCCTGTGATGCCCCAGTCAGAGCCCCGCCAGCTCATGGCAGCTCCCTGTCTGCTGGCCCCTCCCCAGTGGACTTCACAGGGAGGCCACCATGAGGCTGTTTCTCATGGGACCCCACATCACTGTAAGATTTCTTGGCATATAAAGAAATCAAGTAAATGTGCTCAAATCAGGAAAAAAAAGAACTCATCGGAACAGAGGATCCTGAGCTTTTCTTTTTCTGTTGTTTTTGTTCACAGGATAGTTCATGTGCTTTGCTTGCTTGGAGAATTCTCCGTTTTCAGAGCTGAGTAAGAAAGAAAAACAACTCAAGGTACCAAATGAATTCCCAGCATTCTTCTTTCCCACTCCCAGCACTTTGCCACTGGTCATGTGAAAAAGACTGCAATTTAGACATAGCTTGCAGACACCAACCAGGGCTACAAGGAGAATGGGCCACAGGTCAAGGTTAGTTGAAAAAGGGACTCTCTCTCCCCCTCTCTCTCTCCGCCCTCTCTCTGTCTCTCTCCCTCCCTCTCTCTCTGTCTGTCTCTGTCTGTCTGTCTGTCTGTCTCTGTCTCTGTCTCTCTTCCTCCCTCTCTCTGTCTGTCTCTGTGTGTCTGTGTGTCTGTCTGTCTGTCTCTGTCTCTCTCTGTCTCTCTCTGTCTCTCTCTGTCTCTCTCTCTCTCTCTCTCTCACACACACACAGGGTGCATGATTGGTTCAGAAGGGCACTCTGCTGCCTGGGCAGTGGCTGCCATGAAATCCGTGTCACTGTTGAGAGCGCTGTGGGTGAAGCCCAGGGTCCTCACCAGACCAATTCTGTGGCCTGGTCAAACACTGGCCCTGGAAGCCGAACCTGCGGCCAAGCTTTCAGCCCCTATCAGTGATTCTGTGAGCCACGTCATCGACGCCTTCCTGACTTAATCAGCCATAAGCTACTTCTGATGCTCCAAGTTAGACCTCTGATTGGACACTAGGGAGTGGCTCACAAAATCACAGTGGTTAATGATAAATAAAATAGTTTTTAAAAATTCAGGCTTGGTAGACACAACAGGACCCTCAGAGACTGGCTGACACCAAACTCCAGCTGGACAGGGCCACTCCCACCAAGTGGCTGTCTGGGGTGGACGGGGGCTCACTCCCTCCGGGTCAAGGATAACCCCTCCTTGTGTCCAGTTGGATAAGCAAACCTGCTGTGGGCCCCTGAAGGCGAAGGCATTACAGAGCAGACATGAGAGAGCAGCCTTGGCCTGAGAAAGCTTTCATCCCTGGGGGAAGGGGGAAGTGTGAGGCCACTCTACAGGGACACAAGGGACCAGCCCAACCTGGATCCCGCCAGCCTCCTGCTGGGTCTTCTTTCCTCCTCTCCTCAAGCCCTGAGTGACTGCCAGGGGAGGGATCTAAGAGTGAGCTGCCTGCCTGGGAGCCTCTCAGACCCGCAGAACTTGGAAAACAAACAGGCCTGGCCTATGAGCTGACTTTGGGTTCCCAGGCTGAGCGCTAAATCCAGCCATAGCCGGACAGAGACAGCATGTGCACATGACTTGGAGTGTATTCAGAGCAAATGACAGGAGAGCTGGTTATTACAACTTCACTCTAGGTTGCCACACCTCCCTTTATCCTGTCGATGGGGTTGTGCAATCCTGCACCCCATAAATAGAGCCTCACCCCAGCCTCCGGAAGCTCCTGTAGGCCCAGCTCCCAAGGGAGCCTCTCGTCCTCTCCAGCATTAGAGCCCGGTTTGCTGGCCGCCATGAGGACCCACTGCCTGCTGCTGCTCATGTTCTGCTTGCTCTTCTGCCCGAACGTCCCAGGTAAGCCTCAGGACACGGTGGGCACTGGCCTGGGGCTGGGGACGTGTGGGCCAAGGCGGGCTGAGGACACACGCCTCAGGGTGCCCAGGGGCCAACTGCAGCACAGTGTCCTGCGGTCCAGGGACCTGCAGCAGAGGCCAGCAGGGGCTGCAAGCTGTCCTGTGGGCAGCAGAGGAGTGAGCTGGGTGGGGGGACACGGGACGGAGCTGCTGCTTCAGTCTCCGGGGCCCTGTGCTGGTCCTGGGCACCTGGGCACTAACCCTGTGTGGAGGGGTTTCAGGAAGGTGCCTCACACGGAGAGGCCAGCTTCCCGCCTGGAGAGCGGCGCTGCCCTGCTCCCAGGTCACCGGCTGGTCCCTCCTGCTGACCTGCTGCAGGCACAGAGCCACCAGCCCTCCCACAGCACCAGCTCAGCCAGGGTCTGGGACTCGGCTCTGTGAGCGTCTCAGAGAGCCACAGGCACCTTCCCCCTTCCTGGGGAACCCAGGCTCCTTCCCCAGGCCGGGTCTCCCAGTTCAAGGGAGGCTGACTCAGGCCCCCGGATGCCAGCTTCTCTGGGACAGAACAGCATTGTCCCTGGTGTGAGAGAAAGTGGCCCCTGCACAGGGCACCCAGGACACATTTCCCTCCCAGCTCTGTCACTCACAGTGACCTGGAGCAAGTCACGCTTCTCTGAGCCTCAGTTTCCTCATCTGCAACAGGATGTGAGATCAAAGCCTGAGCTGGGAAACTGTCTGAAGACCCTGCTGTGCTTTGCTCTGGATGTCACTGTGCTCCTCATATTTGTGTAGTTGAGTCCACCAGGCCTCCCTTTCCCATCTGAAAACTGGGTTCAAAAGCCTCCTACTTATTAAGTTTCTCATGCTGCCAGTTGTGCCCCATCACAGGAGAAAAATCTACTCAAGAAGTTTCGAGGAGTTTTTCTTTAAAGACTGGAAACCATCAGCATAGGCAGGAAGTGGGCACACATGCTCCAAGTTCTGACTCCTGCACTGATTTGTGCCAGCCAGTTTTCACTGGGTAATAAGGAGACACTCCTTCCTTCCAATCGAAACTCAGCAGAGTTTGAAAGCAGCTTGTCTTACATCACGAGATTTCTTGTTCATCTACAACACGTCCGTGTGATCAGAGACCTCCTAGCCAAGCTCCTTCTGGGGCACCACACCCCATGTCACCTTGTCACAGGCTGTGTCTGCCTGGTGTCCTGGGCATCTGAATTTGTACCAGGACAAAGATGACTTTGAAAAGCGGCGGGGACAGGGGGTGAGGTACAGATAGTTGGGCAGACAGCATGCGTGACAGCCACATATGCAGAGTAACAAAAACTACAGTTCTCAAGAAAAACAAAGAACCCTCATCCCCATTTGTGGGCAAATAATTTAGCCTAAGTCACATGACTGGGGATTGCCAGCTCACGGGCTCCAACTGTGGCCTGAAAGCCCCATTTAGCCCACGGGAAGACCCAGGGTTTGGGAGTGGCAGGTGCTCAGAGGAACACACAGGAATCCTCCAAAAAAGTGCACGGATGACCAGAGAGGCCTTGTGGGCAGGACACACATCTGGATTTGGCTGAGCCCTAGCGGATTCAGCCGGGAGGAAGAAGGATGGGCAATCTGGGCAATCGCTGTGGAAAGGCTTCGGTCTGTCTGGAGGCTGAGTGCTGTATGGCAGCTGATACAGACAATATGAGCCGAGCAAGGGTGGGAACGGGGGGCCCTGGGACCTCCTCCTCAACAAGGCCAGCCTCCTGCAACTGCAACGGGAAGTCTGGCTCAGCTGTCTGTAATGCCCACTGGTTCCCAGCTCTCACCCCACACACTGGCAGCTCACCAAGGGGCCTGACCAGGGCAAGGGCTTTGCTAACTTACCACAGCCCAGAGGGGTCTGATGAAGAGCCCCTGGACTGAGACTGCCCTGGAGTTGGTGCACACTGCCTGTACCATGACCTTATCACAGTCCGCAGCACCTTTCAGGAAAATCCAGAACTGGAACAGGCATCTGGGTCTCCCCTCACACATGGGTCTAACTGGCTGCTTTCCTGCACCCCAAACCTGCCCTCTCTGCTGGCGTCTGCTCTAATGCCTCCAACGATGCCAACAGGGCAGCCTGGGGGTACCGAGGGGCCCAGCTATGCCTCCTCTTATCCCAAAGCCTTGTCATTTGGACAACCCGCTCCTGAGGTTTGTTCAGTGCAAGATACTTATCTTGTAGTCGGGGTTTGCAATTTTCCCTCGTAACATTTTCACTTAGCTGAAATTGCATCTTCTGGAGCCAATCTTGGTGTCCAGAGCAGGGGGTTGTAGGTGGGTTTAAAGCAGAGAAACAGGATCAGAAGGCCCTTTGCCAATAGCTTCACTGACACACAGTCCCTCCCACATTCTTTCCTTGCCTGTGTCTCTATCTCAAATGACTCCTTAAGAAATTTTATTTTCATGGCTTTTTTATATAAAGACAAAAGATACCCTCTAATTCAAAGCAGCTTCATCCTTCTACTCGTTTTGACCACTCTTCCTTGAGCCACCACCATCTGACCTGTGTTGGGTCCTATTTCACCTCAGTGACGTGAAGGTCTTTGTCAGAACTTCCTCCCCCAGGTGTGCATTGTCATGGTACCATGAAATCTAGCCGGTCTTGTCACTGCTACCAGCCATTCTCCTCTCTCTGTGCTGTTCTCCCTGAGGACCCACGGACACACATTTCCCTGTTCCTCTCCAGCGACGTGATCACAGCGGTTCTTCCTTGAGCCACACACACTGTTGCACCTGACTGAAGAGCGCTTGGTGTCCCTGTTGCCCCAGGCGGGGTCCTGGCCGTCCTGCTGTAACCGGCTAATACCTGTGTGGGGTGGGGTCGCTCGGCACAGCGTGGTACCGGCTCAGCACTGCTCCCCAGATCACTGCCCCACGCTCCTCTCACCCTTCTCTTCCCTAACGTCCTCTGCTTCCAACTCTAAACAATACCTCCAGCTCAGCTTAGTGAGGGTCAGGGCGAGAGCAAGCACAGGTTGGGATCCGGGGACAGGTGAGGAGCAGAATGTGGCCGAGAGTCATGCGGACACTCCCGTGTCCAGTGGACAGAACGGACACTTCCCGGGAGGAGACACGGTGCTGCAGCCACACAGCCCCAGAGCTCCCCAGCTTGGGGACATGAAAATCCTTTAATTTTTACATTTTGAATTCCTGAAAACAGCATGCATCTAGGAAGCTCAGAACACATGGGAGGGCCACCTAATGCATCACTGTACAGCGGGCTCCTGTGGCCCCGAGGCAGGTCCAGAAAGAGCGCTTGGCTGCCCCGCGGGGAAGAGCCGCTGTGATCACGTCGCAGGAGAGGAACAGGGAAATGTGTGTTCGTGGGTCCCCGGAGCCTTCTCAGTCCCCGCTCCCTCTGCCCAGGGGAACCACACGCCCACCTGTGCGGGAATGACTTCCTGTTTGCCTTCCTCTGCTCTCACCTGACTGTTCACACCGAGAAACAGTTTGCTTTGTGTGTGTGTTTCCACTGGCCAAATATGGCTATTTGCCCCTATTTCTACATCCTGGAAGTCAGAATTATGTCTCAGGACATGCACGTATTCAAATTTAATAGATAACAAATGTTAAACTGTTCTCCAAAATTACTTACACTAATTTATATTGCCTTGATCAGCAAGTGAGAGTTTCCTTTCACCCCTCAACACTAGCCCTCAACACCACATAGGATTGACTCTTTCAATTTTAGCCAGCTGCTGAGCTGTGATAAACTCTACCTCTTTACAGTTTTGATTCGCATTTCCCTGACACAAGTTGAGCACTTTGGCAGATAGTTCCTAAGCACATGGGTATCATTTGTGGAGTGCTGTTTGTCTCATCCATATTTTCTGTCCGATCATCCATCTTCCTGTAGGGACCGTGGCAGCTCCTTTTACATTCCAGACGAAGTCCTTCATTATACGCATTCAAATATCACCCCTTGCCTTGAGCCTTTCTTGTTCGCTCTCTTCGTGGACACTTTCCTTAGAGATTTCTCATCAGTATTTTAAGGCAAATGAATGTGATACATCTTTTCCTTTGGGGTTAGTGTGTTTCTACCTTAAGAAATCTTTCTTTAGCTCAAAAACATGAATGGTCTCCTGTATTTTGTCTTCTGAAAGCTTATTATTTTCCTTTTATCTTCATGCTTATAATCGATCTGGCAGTGGGGGTGTGTGAGTGTGTGTGTGTGTGTGTGTGTGTGTGTGAGTGTGTGTGTGTGTATTGTTAAGTAAGGGTCAAGCTGCTTTTTCCATTATGAGCACGCCCTTGTCCCACAGATGGGGTGACTCTTTCACAGTGCTCTGCCCACCCACTGCTGTTCCGCATCGATTCTCCACACACACAGATCTCCGTCCACCTCTGCGTTGCTGCCTGTGTCTGTCTGCACTGTGTCATCACCACACTGTGTTAATTACAGTGGCTCTGTAATTAGCAGTCCTGTAAAGCCAGTCCTCCACCCTCCTCTCCAAAGTGTCCTGGCTCTGCTGAGCCTTTGATTCTCCAGACAGACTTTACAAGGAGCTTGTCGAGCAGCACTGAAGGAATCCTTGGAGACTTTTAAGGGATAGTGTTGAATCTGAGATTAATTTGGAGACAATTGACATTTTAAATACAGTCTTCAAATGTTCGAATAGCATTTTAGCTCTTCTAGGTCTTCATTAATGTATTTCAAATCGCGTCTGCCTTCGGATGGGATGTATTGCTTATGTTTCCTTAGGTTTATAGCGAGGACCTGGCATACAATGCCTTTCTGTATGAAGCTTTCATATTAATACCATTTTGCTGTGGGTCAAATCTGTCCCCAGAGAAGGCAAATGTCACCAGAAGAGCAATTTCAGTGCTTGGTGAGAGTCAGGACCCCGGAAGGGCACATGGATGCACTCACAGGAAGGATCCCTGGCATTCCAGACAGAGGCTCCCCGCAGCTTCAGGCTCATCCCAGCCCTTGTCAAAAGCAGAAATGCCCACCCCTCCTGACCCACAGCCTGGGAAACCCAGGGCAGGGGGAGGGGCTGCCGTGCTCTAACAAGACTTTCAGCAGTTTTGGACACCTGCCAGAACCAAAAACACAAGACTCGTGTGTGGGAAAGCAGGAAGAAGGGCTGCCCTAGACCAAGGTCTCTGAGCCTAGTCACAACCAGCCTTCTGATGCAGCTAGTTCTTGGTCGCGGGGCTGTTCCGGTTGTGACAGGGTGGCTAACAGCATCCCTGGCCTCTCTCCAGGAGACACCTGGTCCCTTCCCTAGCACGTCCTGGCTCAGCTGTGACCACCAGCGTTGTCTCTGAGTATTGCCAGGATCTAGTGCCCACAGACGCCCTCAGATCTAGGCTATTCCTTCCTGCCCTTAACCTCCAGGGGGTGATGGAGGACAGATGGAGGAAAAACAGAGAGAGGAGAAGTTGGAGCTCTTTTAATGCAGAACTGAAAGTGATCTCCTCGCAAGTCATAACTAAACAAACAGGAAAGTCCGCCATTTGCCTTCACTCCACATCGTAGCCTACCGAGACCCCTTGGAGGCCCACCTCTTCTACAAAACCTGCTCAAGAAATGGATGTGGCAGGGACATATTTGAGAATGAGGTAAAACATGCTTTCATAGGAGTGGGATCATGGACAACTGTTCGATCTCCCTGACCCAGTCTTCCTGCCTGTAAGGTAAAGCAATGCACTCCTTGGAGGAGTAAGTGAAACTAGAAGTGTGTTAGTCACTCCCCAAACGGAAAATAACCAGGCTGAGGAGGCTGGAAAAGGGAAGGCTAGAAGTGGGAACACTATAGTCAGACTTGAGGAGCTGGGCACAGACAGGTGGAGAACTTTAAACAAATCACACTCCACTTAGTTCTAAAACAGATAGTACAACTAAAGCATCTCAGAATTAAACTCTTCGCTATTCTTCTTGTGGAGGTATTGTATTAGGCCCTTGAAGCTAGTCCCAGAAGTTAGTTCTTGTTAACGACCTTGATGATCTATGAAGCCACATACAGTGAGGAGGGGACAGTGTCCTTCCAACCTTTCCTGCCTTTCATGTGGCTGCTGCATGCTGCGGGGACACCACAGGACATCAGTTTCTCCGTCTGGGGAGCAGATGAAAGACAAGGTGAATTATAGGAGCTCTGATGTCCATTCTGCCTCTAAAATGCTGAATTATATTTGGGCCTCCTCATCTTACCCAGGACCTTGAAAGAGAACGAATACATATTAGAGAAAGAGATCAGCAATGTTATTATTGAGAAAAGCAAAGAACAGTAAAGAGTGCAGACCTTCAGGATTTACAACAGCTGTCAAATCTTTAGTTCCATGTGTCTTCTTAGCAACACGTAGTCCCTTGGAGGGACCCCTTCGTGCTACAAGGGTTGGACTGAATATTTTCCCAGAATACAGCCAGCTCTGAGAGCCTCTCGGGGAAGGAAACAAAAACCAGAATTGGACACATCAAAGAAGTCTGGTTGACCATGATCCTACTGGAGGTCAACACTGTCTGGAGCTATCAGGACTCAGGGCAATCTTGGACACCGTCATAGTAATCACTGTGTTGTGGAAGAACGCTGTGAGCTTGGTCCAGGAAACTGTTTCATGTGAGCAACCAAGTACGCTTGGCCCAAGATGCTTCTCTGAGGACAGGATGGGCCAGGGGAACCAGAATGACAGTTCTTAATCTCTGTGGGATCTCAGTACAACAGAACATTCTTTAGCTCTGAAAATGTTCCACATGTGCCCTGCCCACTGCAGGAAGTGGGAGCCACATGTGGCTACTGAGCACCTGCCGTGTGGCTACTGAAATCTCAACACATTTGAAGGTGAGCAGCAGCATTTAGCTACTTGCTGGCACATCGAGCAACATGGCCGCACAGCGAACAAACAAAAGGAGTGAAGCACCTCTGCTCTTGGTCTGGGGAGGCACCTGAGGTGCTGTGCATTTGCTCAGGCCTCAGTCTTGAGAAAGCCTTCTGAAAAATTTGAAGGGCAGTGAACTCAACCAGAAGAGTCTAGAAATGAGGCACTGAGAAGAGTGAGAGAAAAGAGTTTCTGGAAAGTGAAATTACTAAAACTGAAGCAATGGTTAGACTTAACTGCACAGAGCAGAAAAAGAGCCCTGGATGGACGTTCCTAAAAGGTCAGTCTCCATCAGTATGAGGAAGAGCCTTCCAACAAGCAGACACCAGAAATCAGAGAGTGCTGTGTCCTAGAGTGGTGATGACCTACTGCAGTGAACTGTACGGGCCACCATAGCAAAAACACACCAACCAGGGGCCTTGACAAGCACAAATGCATCTCCTCACAGTTCTGCAGGCCAGAAGTCTGAGACCAAGAATGGTAATGAGGTGGGCCTCTGCTGGGGCCTCCTTCCTTGGCTGCTGGGTGGCACCTTCTCCTGCATCCTCATGCATCTTCCCTCTGAGTGGCCCATGTTCCCATCTCTTGTTACAGGAACGCCAGTCATACTGGACAAGCCCACCCTAATGACCACACTTGGCTTCAGTTAACCCACCACTGGCCCTAGCTCCAAATACTGTGTCTTTGTGAGATAAAAGAAGTTAGGGCTTCCACTGAGGAGTTTTGAGGGGACAGAAGTCAGCTTACATCACCCAACAACTGGAGCTGGGAAGCCAATAGCCCAATGATCTCCCACCATGGATATCAGAGAGTGGCTTTGCTCCCTACTGGGTACAGTAGGAGGCTGGTCTATCGAATCTTCTAATTATGAGATTCTGTGATCCTGGGCAGAAAGACTCCAAGTGCAGAAACCTATGAGATCTTTATAGAGCAGCTGTACTATCACCCTGACAGTAAAAGATCACTGGACTCAACGGAAACAGTGGTGTGGAAGGCACTGAGCTGGGGTTTAAGTCAGAGGGATTGGTATGACTGAAGTCACTGATAGCAAAGTGTAGGATGTGCTTATGGCCAGGCAAACACTTTATGTTTTTTAAATTTTTTAAAATTTTATTGGTGCAATTTAAATACACATAATAATCACATTTATCATAGGGAACTTGAATCTGTACATGATATATCTCAGTTCCTCTTTTTTTCTCCCATTCCCTCCCTTCAACCCCCTCTTATGTGCAAAGTTTTGCTTCTATTTTATCCATTTTTTCTTATTTTTTCTTTTCCCTTCCTCCCTGCCCTGTGTTCACTTTTCCTTTTGTACAGTTTCTTCCTATATCACAATATCTATTATATGTTTTGGTTCTTATTTACACTTTCAGTTTCTTATACCAGAGAAATAATGCAATATTTTCATGTGCATCTGTCTGATTTATTTCACTTGAGTTTGTTCTCCATTTACCTAGAAATGTCTCAAGTTTATCCTTCTGTATGGCTGAGTAGTACTCCCTGCATAAAAGAACCACTTCTTTTTTATCCATTCATGGGCTGATGGGCATTTGGATTGTTTCCAAGATTTAGCTATTACAAACTGCAGTGCTATAAACATTGGTGCATATATATATTGTTGTGGTGTGATGATCTTGATTCTTTTGGGAAGATACCAAGTAGGTGAATAGATGCGTCAAATGGGACCTCTAGTTTCTTTCTTTTTTTTTTTTTTTTTAAAAAAATCTCCACACTGATTTCCACAGTGGTTATACCAGTCTACACTCCCACCAACAGTGGAGAAGCATTCCTTTTTCCCCCACAGCCTTGCCAGTATTTGTTATTGGTTGATTTCTTGATGGTAGCCATTACTCTCTGGGGTGAGATGAAATCTCAGCATTGTTTCAATTTGCATCTCTCGAATGACCAGTGATGTTGGCAGTTTCTTCATGTATTTATTCAGGCAACCACTTTAGCATTTTGAAAATAGAGGACATGAATTTAGGGGAAGGCAAGATGGAGTAGAAGACTTATGTGGGGAATAACTGTAGTTCTTCCGTGTCTTAAAATCTCTGGACAAAAGGAAATCCCATCAGATCCTGTAGTTCCTCCATGGCGAGTGCGTTCTTCACAGGTCTAATTTCAATTACGTGCACTCTTTCCAAGAGAAGATTCCTCACGTGCTTTGCCTGTTGTCTGTCCTCCCTTCCCAAAATGTTCCAAAGTCCTTGCAGCCACAAGCCAGGAGACTGAAGTGCTCTGTCCCCTCCTTACAGGTGCTGGTCTCACAGGTCTGGGCCACAGAGCAGACCATTACCAGTGCGTGAGGAATGGAGGATTCTGTCTCTACTCTGCTTGCCCCATGTTCTCTAAAATTGTGGGCACCTGCTACAATGGGAAGGCAAAGTGCTGCACCTGAGATGGAGTCACTGGAGAGAACATCAGAAGGATGTGAAATATTTGTTTTAATAATTAAAAAAAAAAAAAAACATTTTTGAAAAGTACCTCCTTGTACTAAACTAAGTATTGTGTCTCAATTTGGGAAAGGGTAAGATAATCTAGGCTTAGAAAGAGAGACAAGCCCAGTCATGGCTTGCCTGGCCCAAAGAAAAGATGGCCAGGATGTCACTTTTACTTAGTTTCATCATCAGACCCAAGGAGTGAGTGATGCACAGGGTCCCCTTAAGATCAAGTCTATGTGCTAAGCTCAATGGACATAGCCATAATGCATGCTGGGGCCTGGCAGAGGTGGACCCCAAATTCTGAGATCTCAAAGAGTGTCCATGAGAGGGCCCATCTGCAGAGCCAAGACTGTGGCCCCTTCTTTCTGTGCTAGGACCATGGGTGGCTTAACCTTAGCAACGAGAACCTCTTCTGTGACCATTTATCTGAACCCATGCCTGGTTACACACACCAGTAGTCCCATTACTCTGGAGGCTGAGGTGGGAGGATCGTGAGTTTGAAACCAACTTGTGCTCCATAGCAAGTGCAAGTCCAGCCTGGATCATAGAAAGAGATCCTGTCTCAAAACGGATCAGCATTTTGCACTCCACCACAATCACAAAACCCAGCTACCCATCACAGTGCATAATGATGCCCCAGTCACTTGTGCTTTTCAGTCCTGCCTCACTGTTGGGCCCACAGACATGCTGGGGAGAGGACAACTGGTCACCTCCTTCCCCAGTAAACCTATTAATGCTCTGGATTATACAGCACAACACACAAGCTGTCATTCCCTTAACCTGTGACGGCAATTTCAGCTTCCACTTCCAACAATTATAAGCATAAATGAGGTCACCTGTTATAAAAACACGTGTCACCAGCCCCAGGGATGGACATGCTGCACTGCCCTCTTCCCACAGGGAAAGGCTGAGAGGAGAAATGCTGGCATCTGTGACAGATACTAATTCTACCCAGGCGTACAGAGTGCCTCAGATGCAGGTCTTTCATTACAGGTGTCTAGGCTCTTTCTTGCCTTGAAAACCTAAGAAGCAATGCAGGACCAGTCCACTTTGATGTGGCCTTGTGGACCAGCCAAGTTGACAAATTGAACCTTTATAGGTGATGAGGAACACCTAGAAGGCACACATCCTGGTGTGTAGTCTCCAACCACGCCTGTGGTAATCATGTGTTTGTGCATCATCAGCAGATCACTCCATGTAAAACTCCACTATTGGTTTTGCCTTTCAAAGAAAAGCTTATCAGGAAAACAGATTTTCCAATAAAACAGTTTAGGAAGCACCACCAGCCAGACTAGAACACAACATGGATCTTTATCCTTCAATGTAAATATACAACCAAGAATAACAAGACAGCAAGGAAATCCAGCATGTGATGGAAGAAGCCATATTACACAAATACAAATCATCCCTGAAAAATGTCATATCTGTAAGACAAAAATAAAATGCTCTAGGAGACTAGGGGTTAGAGAGAAGATATTAGCCATTTCAGAACTGTTAACAATATAAAAATTTTTAAATAAAACCTTAAATAATGAATTTAAGTGAGTGCAAAAAAGATTAAAAGGTGAAAAACATGAATTAAAAGGTACAATACACTGATGAGATTGTGAAGAAGTTCTCTCATTAAATGAGTTAGAGAAAGAAAAGAGAGAATAAAATTACAAGAATTATTTATCAAAGAAATATGAAATAAATTTTCACAAAGATAAAGGAACATATTTTCTGAATTGAAAATTTCTATTAAATGCCACAATAGGTACTGGCATGAACAAAGAATAACATCAAGGTATATCGTCACAAAATTTTAAAATATGCACTAAAAAGGGAAGATCTTAAGCTTTCTAGAGAGAAGAAAATATAGGATGTTCCACAAAGGTACATAAGTCACTTTGGCATCAAGCTTTTCCTCTGCAAGAATGAATTCCAAATGATCACAGCTAAATACATTAACTTTCTCATGGAAAATGATACTGAAGTTAGAATCTATCTGAGCCAATATGTTGGTCATGTAAGTGCAAAACAGGGTGTTTTCCAACACAGAAGGACGAGCAATTTTTGCTATTACTACATACTATCTCTAAGAAAATGTGTAGAGGATGCCCTTTTACCAAATTGAGGAGGAATTGATAAAAACAGAAAACATTATCTAGCAAAAGACAGCTGCCCCATCTTTCCAAGAGCACATTTACTAATAGCACTGGCCAGCAGGGATTGTACAATCCCTTCAGTTCAACTGTAGACTGCTCTTTCATCAATAGGAAGTGAGCAGAATTGATATGTGTCCCTCCTAAAAAGAGCAAATGTGGGCCTCTCTCTCATTTTCTGTGCTGGAGTTTGATAAGTAGTTTCCTAAGACATACGTAATGACAGAATGGTCAGGAAGCAAAGTCTGACTCCTAAAGAAGGGAAAACAAGTTCCCTAATGACTAGAATGATCCTTAGTAGGCTACAACATGAGCCAAAGGGCAGGGATCCGCTTTCAGTCATTAAAATTTGAGGATTTATTTGCAATCATGGCTATAATTGCCCTAACTCTAGACGTAGGCCCATAAATAGTCTGTAATTACATACTGATAAAAAGTGAAATGTCCAGTTGGGAACAACACAGACCTCAGGAACAAGTACAGCAAACCGAAGCGTGAAGTCAGTGTTCTACAACAGGCAACAGTTGGCCCTCTGCATCCATGGGGTCTGTAATAGTGGATGCCACCAACCGTGAATCACATATGTCAGAGAAAAAAATGACATCTATACTGAAAATCCAGAGACATTTTTCTTGTAATTAGTCCATAAACAATAAAGTTTAGCATCAATATCCATAGCATTCACATAGTATTAGGTATTTTACATAATCTAGAGATGATTTACAGGATACAAGAAAATGTGTGAATATTCCACGAAAATACTGTGCCATTTCATATAAGGGATAGGACATCCATGGACTTCAGTGTCTGAGAACTCCTAGAAACAACCTCCTGGGTGTACTACGGGAGGACTACACTTAGGAATGGGATGATCCCAATGTATTCAATTGAATAAACAGCCAGATAAATTTTTTTAAAACTAATAATATTTTTATCAGTGTATTTGATAGGGCATGACAAGCACTTTGCAGTTTGGTTGGAGAATACCCAACTCTGAGGAGACCGTGCTAGAGCTAAAATGTCATGATGCTCAAACTCCCTCCCAAAGACTTCAGTGCAAATAAATGTCACAAAGCAATGACAGTCAGTGCCTCAGAGGAGGGTGTGTGTGTACTCTGAACTTTGTTCTTGCATGAAGGCCTGAAATTTTCAAGATAAAAATTAAGGTAGAGAAAAATCATCACAAGAACAAAGATTTTTCTGCGTAAGAGTAATTCATGTAAAATTAAAAGATGACATTTAAATTCAGAAGTCCTAAATTGGAATTGTAACTGTCAGTATAAATCATAGCTTGTTTAGACTGCAGTGAGAATACAGCAATAGTGAGCAATGCTAGGTTCCTGGCTCCTGTCCCTAAATAAAGTTTTTCACTGTACACAACCAGCACTATTGAGAAAAATGGCAAATTCCTGTCCAGATTACAAGGTGCACAAGAAAAAACCATGTTATGTCCTTCTGCTACAAAACTAGAGAAGCTGTCAAGGGTACGGCTCATGTCAAAGGAACATCAGCACTGAATGAAGAGGAGCCCACTGGCCACAGATGGGCATTACAAAAATAAGAACCATAATTACTAGAAATGCACTTAACATAGAAATCCGATGGTTTATTAATTCTTAAAAAGCTGATTTGTTTATAATCAGAATTTGGTAAAGTGCCAATTTGTCTCTTCAGGAATTGGCAAACAGAACAAAAACTAACGCACTTGTTCTGCCTTTCCAGTACAAACTGTATTTTAGGGTAAACAAGAAATAAATTAAGAAAATATCTTCTTTATCAAAAGTTGCCATTTTGCATTATTAAAGGGAAATCGATGAAAGACATTCATCAATGGATTGTGTAAAAAATATGCAGTAAAAAGTTTAACCCAAAACTGAATCATGGAAGATCAACATGCTCTCTTAGTCACTTTCTTCATCACGGGGGCACAGTACCTAACGCCTGCAACTTAGTGGAGGGGAGGTTCATTTTGATTTGAGTTTCGGTTCATAGTCAGCTGGCTCCAAGGCAGGATGGCATGGCAGAGAGGAGAAGCACCTGTCATAGCACGCATGATGCAGAGTGAAGGACAGACCCAGGAAGGAGTCACCTCCCAATCACCTCTCAAAAGCCCCACCCTGGAGTGTGTGAGGCTCCGAGGGAGAATCTCGATATAAACAACAGCAGCAGCGACACTCCATAATCAGCCTCAAGCTTACTAAAAGTGAGACAATCAGCCACTGACGGTCCTTGATCTGAGACGAGTAGAACACGGCACCTCCGGTGAAATTTTCTGGTCCGAAGAAGAATTTGAAACTGGTCAAATGTTTAGATCTAAATAGTAATTTAAATATAATACCAAAGTGAGAAGCAAGTAAAATATCTTCACAAAGAAGCACCCATCCAATCCAGAACGTGAGACATTCCATGGGAAAAGGACCTATTTTCTCCCACAAAATAATGGCATAAGAGAAAGCAAAAACTTACAGAAGAAGAAGAAAACCAGTAAGTGTCCTTGCTTGGGTATATGTCGAGGAGACTTTCAGCATCAGTGGACCATAGTTCTACTCAATCTAATTTAATTTCTACTCAAAAGGGAATAACTCTAGATTCCTCAGTGGTCACCTTGTGGGGGTCAGAGGTTGATATCCCTAGTGTAACTCATGGCTGTTGTTATGGTTTACATCTAAATTGCTTTCCAATAATCTCATGGTTTTGGCAGGTGATTGAAGTATGAGAAAGCTGCCTTCATCAGAAAATTCATGCACAGATAACTTTGCTAGCTGAAGGAGGAGGCGGACCTTGTTGGAAGTGAGTCACTGAGAGTGTGACCTAGAAGAGTGTATTCTTGTCCCTAACTGCCCTGCACTCTACTTCCTGGCAGCCATGAGGTGAACTTTCTTCAG